GCTCGATCCATGAGACCTGGGGCGTCCGAGTGGGGAACTTTTTGGCGTGGTGCCTTTCTAGCTGATCAGCGATGTGCATGACGTAGCAACAGACGTGGCCATTCTAGCGCCGCACAAAAGCCTTCAGAGTCAACCACAAAGTGGAAGGTCTATGTTAGAGCATCTACAGCTGAACTTGGCAAATCTGGCCCCTCAAACGTCCGTGGACACGACCAGGCGCGTACACAGACGGTGACCGACCACACCTCAAATTAACAACTTTGCATCCGCCTCTCTTATATTTCATCTCATAAATCCATACAAAGCATGCAAAAAAATCATACGTACTACATACTACGTACTACCCTATTTAGTCTTCTTTGTCGGAGATGTCCACGACGACTGTGCCAGGCGCCGGCTGGACAGGCGGGTAGGAGGTCTCCGGCTCATCCTCCTTTTGCTCGACCTCATCCATGTAGGCGAGCATCTTCGCTCCCTCCGTGGCCTCCTGCGCCTCCATCTCCTGCCGTCGTCTGGCCTCCGCAGCCGGCTCCGACCGGAGGGAATCGAGGATAGCCTGCTGCCCCGCCTACAGATTCGTGTCACCAGCGTCCCCCACATCCTCCTCCTCCGGCTCATCCTTCTTCTCCTCCTCGTCCTCCTCCTCCTCCAACTCCTCCTAATCCATTGCATCCGGAGGTAGCCCCGCGGCGATCTGGACTTCGGGCCTAGCCCGGATCTGCTCAAGGAGCTCGAACCGGCGCTCCGGCGTCGGAAATAACTCGCTCCTCACTCAACGGGCATGGCTACTAGGCGGACGGATGGAGTGGAAAGTGGCAGCGGCGGCGGACAGGAGGAGGAGGAAAATGTGGATAGATGGTAGGGTTTCGGTGCCGCCGGTCGACTTAAATAGCCGGGCTAGGCACGACGCGGCCCACCAGAGTTGTGCCACGCGGCGCCACCGGTCCGACGGAGGAGATGAGCTTCGGACCGCTGGGTTTCAGGGCATTTCCGGCTGGGACCCCTTCGTCAATCCGACTAGGCAGGCGTGCCAGGGCGCGCTAGGGCGCCCCCATATCTGCCCCATATTTGGGCTGGATATAAGGGGTGCCAGTCAACCCGGGCATTTGAGGGTCGTTTTAGGGGGGCATTTGGGTCAGAAAAATGTGACCGTACAGTGACCGGGCGGCCCGCCCAGTCATATGAGGCTGATTTGAGGCGCCCGACTGTAGATGCTCTTAGAGATATATATATTTGGTTTACCTTCAGAATCAACCACGAAGTGGAAGGTCTATGTTAGAGATATATTTGGTTTACATGTATTTGGTAGTTTACAATTTGTAATCCGTCTCCTACCTTAATTTTAGGAGATGTTTTTTACCCTCCAAGTCTGTACTTCTATATATACTCGCTCGTGAGGCTCAATACAACATCACACACATTACGACACAATCCTTCTCTATCCCATTTAACATGGTATTAGCCTAGCCGATCCAAAACCCTAGATGTCGCTTCCGCTTCGCGCCGCCCCTGGGGCGGTCGATCTCCGTGATCGCCCCCAGGGGCCATGCCGCCCGTACCTACGGTTCGTTTGCCAGTCATGTTGATCGGCTACTCTAGAGAGTCTTTTTCCCGATCCTTTGATCCGGAATTTTTTCTCTCTCTCTCGCCAGTCACATTGATCGGTATTATTGTGTTGGTTTTCCCTCGTACACTTTGATTTAGGTCACATGACTCATAGGACACGCAAGCAAGTGGGCATATGGATGAGGCATGGCTCTAATGTGGGTCCACCATTGTATTGCTACTATTTCTAACATGTACAACAGTACACATTGGTTGAGATTGTATACTGCCAACCAAATAAGCACAGTTCACTTCATTGACCGGGTAGATACTGCATGAATCTCCGACCAATATCGTTTGATGTGAGCTTACCCGGTAGAAATCCGGACCGATAGAAAAACCACTCTCCATCGCCTCAGTGACTACCACGTCTAGATTCTGCAACCACGCCTATTCCAGCTTCTCGACTTGGCTTCAGGGACGGAGCTCGTGTGTAACCGCTGGCGTCAATTGACACCAGTGCGTTTCAGTTTTTAAACTAGTGTGCTTAATAAAAGTTGCCTTTGACCCCAGCTAAAAAATCCGATTGACCCCAGCCCACCAACCATGGAGCTTCACAAGCCCAAAATGCCAGCCCAACTACAACCGTAAACTCCCTAAAAATGAAAAAGAAGACCTTTAGCACTACTACCTCTGTCATTGTTTATTAGTCTCATTTGTATTCTGCGTCAAATTTTAACCTTAAATTTAACTAAAAAATGTTAACGCATGTCATAAAAAATATATAATTTAAAACTATGTTTGAATGCGAGTCCAATGATATAATTTTTGGCGACATGCTAATATTTCGTAAGTTAAATCTCTAGTCAAAATTTGACACAAAATACATAGGGGACTTTTAAACCAGGACGGAGGTAGTACAACACAGGCTACAAAGCCCACGCCATATTTGATCTGGGCATCCAGCAGGCTGCTCGGTCGCTCCTATGCGTGGCACGGCCGCAGTACGCTGTTCGCGCATGGCCACACTTGTTCGTCAGGGAACTGCAGAGAGCTGTGGAAGTTGATCACGAATTCTGCGCTGCAAAAGAAATACTAGCCAGTTGCCATGACATCAGCGGCGAGATATTTTTCAACAATGAATATTGTCCAAAGTTATTGCATCAAAAATGAGGTTGCGAGTGATTGCATAATTGGCTACGCGGAGAAAGATATATTTTCTACCATTACTAGTGATGCCGTGATTGGTCCCTTTATAAGAGGATAAAAGATCGCGGGAAGTTATAAATGTGACTCTCGGGTCATTCACGCTTTCCCTTAATGATATTTTTATCAATATTTTTTTATCAGGTTCCATTGATGTGAATATAGTGTGTTTTGTTTGTTCATCATTTCTAGAGAGTTGCAAATGAAGCTCTAAAGTCATATTTTGTTACTTTGTTTCTTTTCCTGGGTAGATAAACAAGTAGTTTTATGACTTCCCTCGGCCAATACTCCATATGACAATCTTTGTATATAACAAAAACTATATCATAGGTTCATTGCATATTCGTTTTCTTATTGCCCTGCCGTAGTACTATAGTGGCTAGTGGCTGACACCAGTGTCAATTTTTTCTAGCTTCGTCCCTGCTTGGCTTCCATGATAACTGCTTCGACGTGAGAGTTAGTAACAAGAAAAGTCAACGATGGGGGTGTGGAGGTGAGGGATGGGTGCACGGCGTAGAACTGAGCGATGACATCACACACTAGAATGTGAGCCCATTTATTATTATTTGAAGCAAGATAATTTTTTGATTAAATTCAACATGAGTATTATTGAATTTTTATTTGTTTCTTATTGACTTTATCTGCGAAATAATCCTGCCAAATCTGAACTGATGAAACAATATTTCTAGAAGTTGAGAGGGACCAAGTGTTGCAAGGGGTACCCAATGTTTTATATAAGAACAGCCGTTTGTCCTCGCCTAAAGCGACGGGGGACCGCTATGACGTGGATACTATAACACATGTATTTTGATTTGTGCTCGAATTCACGGGTCACGAAAATATTCTAACAAAAATGCACAAAGAGTGCCCGCAAAAATAATGCACAAAGAGCAGGGCTCTGGATGTGCAATGAGAGATAAATGGGAACTGCCACCAGAGAGTGCATTCTGGTACACCGGAAATGATTGGCTTCAGGTATTGCTTGATTCGAATCAGGAGGATATGGGAGCTAAAATACTCCTGCTGTGGAGATGCTGGCATTTGCATGATGATTGCATCCATGGAAGTGGGAAAGAACCAATTCTGAATTCAGTGTTGTTCCTGGAAAGTTATGAGGAGGAATGGCGCAGCTCTCGAGTGGAACTGTCAACGAGCCCGGGGCAAGGGGACGGGCTACTTATCCAATCCTAAGCCCTATATATCAACGAACAAATGCATACAGTGGACGGCGCCGAAGAGCAGACTTGAAATTAAATTCAGATGCTGCTTTCCACGCCGACAGCGGCCAAAGTTGGGCTGGCGCGATTGCTAGAGATCATAGAGGACATGTATTCCTGTCAGTCTGCAAGGAGTTGCCGCGATCTACAAGTGTGGAAGACGCTGAAGGACGTGCTGCACTCGCCGGACACTGTATGCACTTGCAGCAGTGTACATGGAAAAATTCAGTTGGAGGTGGACTGCAAGTGGATAGCAGATGCACTGAAGAAAAATGCACCGAACAACTATGGCCTTATCAGTGATTTGAATGATGCCCTTGCTACGTTCTCTGCTTTCGAGGTGACTCACACCGCGAGGGAAGGTAACAAGATGGCACATGAATTAGCAGTTGAAGCCCGAGTGCGTGGAGACCATACTTTCATGGCGGAAGTCCCAGATAGACTGAATCAGCTAATGTTGTCTGGATGTGTCCAATCCTAGAACTCTGCTGCTCTAGCCCTGAAAAAATGCAATATTTTCGGCATATACTTGTAGACTTCTTTTGAGCTATGTTTTGATACACAGTTCGGTCACAGTTTAAAATTAAATGCCTTTGATTTGAACAAACGAACAACTAAATCAATTGCGGGAACTCTTATCATAATTTTGAGCTACGTTTTGATACACAGTGCTGAGTCTATAAATCAACCGGAATTCATCAATGTGTACCACAAACGTCAACTAAAAATATGAATTTATTTGAACTTTATGTACTCACAAGTAAAGGGGACTTCCCTTTTGAGGAGTAGAGATCCCAACTGTCAGTGAGAGCAAAAGGAAAAACAATCAACAGCATTTTCGGGAACTACTAGTATTCTCCAAAAAGTTGTCATGAAACAACACTAAAAAAAAAGAGGCAAATGTACTTTTTGGCATCTTTAAACTGGTGATTTCATTTTTGCGAGGAGGGCAAATGTTCGAAGCATGCAGCACACAAAGCTTGGGTCAGACCCAACATAAAACACTACACTGAACTCCAGAAACACGAACAATCACGTGTAGGCGGCCGGCACGAGCCGCGGGGTGACGATGGCCTTGAGCGGGACGGCCTTGGGGAGCGCCAGACCGAAGGTCTCAGCCATGTCCACCTTCTCCTCGCCCTCCGGCAGCCTCCACTCGAACGCGTGCACCAGCGTCCCGAGGAAGTACTGCACAAACACCATTCCGGCCAGCTTCCCGGCGCATATCCTTCTGCCGGCGCCGAACGGGATCAGCTCGAAGTTGTTCCCCATGGGGTCGATCTTGGCCGCCGGCCCGGACAGGAACCGCTCCGGCCGGAACTCCAGGGGGTCCTCCCACGCCGCCGGGTCGCGGCCGATGGCCCAGATGTTGATGAGGAGCCGCGTGTTGGCGGGGACGTGGTGGCCGTCCACCTCACACTCCTCGAAGGAGAAGTGCGGCAGGCTGAGCGGCGTGGACGGGTGGAGCCGCATGGCCTCTTTGCATATGGCCTGCAGGTAGGGGAGGTTGGCGATGTCGGATTCCTCGATGCGGCGGTTACGGCCGATGACACGGTCCATCTCCTCCTGGGCACGCGCCATGATAGACGGATTGTTGATCATCTCCGCCATTGCCCACTCCACGATGATCGACGACGTGTCCGTGCCGGCCGTGAACATGTCCTGCATGCATGCATACAGGGCTTAAAATTCCAAGTTCCACTATGTGTTTTGCTGCATTTTTCTACAATCCACGTGTGCATGCTTATATGTGTTCGAGAGTGGATTATCCATCATACCCAATGCATGCATCCACCTTTCTTTCAGTTGTTGAGAGTGGATTATCCATCATACCCAATGCATGCATGGATTATTTTATTTAATGTTCTCAAGGTTCACTCTCTTCTGGGGTTTACCACAATGTTTCATTGTTTTTAAATGCACTTTGAACTTGCATCATGCAAATTAGTTTTAGAGTGTACCATAATATTTCCTTGTGTGTCAGTGTGTGCTACCAAACCAACTCAATGTGAATAAGCTAGTGAGGGTACAAATCTCCAACTCAATGAATGGCCGATGCAAGCACGAGATATCCTGTGTACGGTACTCCTATCCTATGTGTGCATTTCTCCTATGTGTTATGGTCTGAAGCACTAGAATGGCAAAGTAGTAATTACTTACGAAAAAAGCATGCATTGACTCGGCGGCAAAGTAGTAATTACTTACGGAAAAAAGCATGCACTAGAATGGCAAAGTAGTTACTACTTGCGCACATGCAATCATCAACTTTGATAATCACTTGACCAGAGGGCACTACTAACGCATCATATTAAACCATATCATATACTTACTACAACTTTTACAATATGTTGTATCTTAATGTTGTACTCTATCTAAAGGTACTCTTATTTAATGTGTTTTGCGAGTCTAGATTAAGATTAAATAAAACTCTCTTTCCTCATTAAATAAGCTGCCACATCAGATTTTACATAGATATCAAGTTTTTGATATAGCACATAGCACACCCCATGAGTGCGCTTTGCTTGGCAATCTGATAAGTTTGGTGTACTCAATTATACTATTACCACTAATCCGTTGAGAATGACTTGTGCTTATATCATTTCAAGGGGAATCAAATCAAAGGCAAATTAAAGCTAAGGTACACCAACCGAGTACTAGATAAATCAGTATCACCTTCACTCTTATCTTCCCAACCCAAGTGACTAAAATCAATTTTGTTTACAAGTGTGACTGATTGCTATCAAGGGGAAGGTTGGGTGATTGCTATCAACCGATCAAGTGTGGACTTGAGACCGAGAGTGACAGATACGTAACCGTGTTTTCTTCCCCTTTTTTATTGAAAAAGGATGTATCCCGGCCTCTGCGTTTGTTGATGCAGATAGCACACAGTTATAAAAAGAGGAAACCTCCATTTAGAAAGAAAGAAAAAAACTTTTGAGACTTGCTACAGAGCCAGTTCTCAAATTTGCTCCATATTTGAAGCACCGCTTTTAGCTCTTGTCTAACTATATGGCACGTAGTGGTTTGGTTGCTGAAGTCATTTCTACGATAGCCTAATTCTTATATAATTGCCGTCGCATTCCACCAACAGCAAAGAAATGTGTGACGGCGATTTTCCAACACCAGCTAGCTAGGCTTAAAGTTCGCATATGATTGTCTTGATCTAGGTGGAAGACCGCATACTATGGGTGTACTCAAATTGTTGCATCATGGTAGTACGGTTGCTCGCATTCTGGGCCATCAGCTGTGTATGCCTTGACTAGTTTTGAACGTACTACGATAGCTATTGCTAGCACTCATCATGGTAACGAAACCACTACCCGGACGGCAAATCGTGGTGGTGCATCATTTTTTGAGGTATTTTTTGACAAATCTGGCCCCTTTGAGCGACTTGAGACATATCTAACCCTTGGGCAAAATTAATTTGAAATCTGGCCCCTGGGGTCGGTGCCATAGAGCATGGCGTCGACTTGTACATGTCGGCGCTACACTACATGGCGCCGAGACGTACAAGTTTGGCGCCATGCTATGTGGAGCCGAGCAAATTTGGCCCTTAGTGTTTCTGTGGGGCCATCTAAGGTCGGCTCCACGTAGCACGGCGTCGAATTTGTACAAGTCGGCTCCGTGTAGTGTGACGCCAACATGTACAACTTCGGCTCCATGATATGTGACGCGGACTCCACGGGCCAGATTTCAAATTAATTTTGCTCAAGCGCCAGACGTGCCTCAAGTTGTGCGGAGGGGCCAGATTTATAGAGAAATACTTTTTTGAGGGACTGTAGGAATCGTCTCGGTCTCTTTCCAACCACTCCACTAGCTATGCTCCGACCCCACAATTATATTGCACCGCCACCACAGCAGCTTCACTCGATTGCATGCATTGGGTGGGTGGTTCCTGTGTCGTGCACACGTATAGATGATGATGCGCATCGATCAGTACAAGTTGACGGAGAACCAAAATGTATGTTGAAACTTAAACTAATGGTCGTTCGATTAGATGATGCATGCGGCCGGTGATTAATCAGAAATGGCAGAGGGAATAAAGTGTGGGAGCTTGCTTACGAAGATGAGGCCCTTGATGTTGACCTCGGTGATGGTCTCGCCGTCGTTGTCGTCCTCGTCGTTGCTGCTGGCGCGGAGCCTGTCCACGAAGTCGAGCCGGCCCTCCCGGGCGCGGTCCTCGGCCGTCGCCGCGTGCTCCGCCAGCAGCTTGGTGATGAGCCCGTCGAACTGGCGGTGCACCCGGCGCAGCCTGGCCTGCACCCCCTGCAGGTCCAGCCGCGACAGCGCCGGCACGAAGTCGCTGATGTTGAACAGCCCCGTGCCGGTCAGCAGCGACACGATCATCTCCTTGTAGCTGCTCGACTCGTCGCCCTGCGCGTCGAACACCCGCCTGCTCACCGTGATCTGCCCCACGATGTTGGCCAGCGCGCACACCAGCACCTCCGGCACCACCACGGCCCGCCCGGCCTCGGCGGCCTCCGCCATGCCGCGCAGGGCGCGCCCCGCCTCGTCGCGGCGCACGCAAGCCCAGTCCGCGACCGCGCGCGCCCCGAGCAGGTGCACGCTCGCCAACTTCCGCATCAGCTTCCACTTGGGCCCGTAGTCGGCGAACACCATGTTCTGGCGCCCGTAGGTGATGTCCGCCGCGCTGGCCACCGCCGGCCGGTTCGCGAAGCGCGCGTCCAGCGCCTTGAGGAACGTCCGCGCGGCCGACGGCGACGAGGCCACCACCACGCCGCAGGTGCCCATCCGCAGGTACATGACGGGGCCGTACTTGCGCGCCAGCGCCGCGAGGCCGGTGTGCGGGGCCGGGCCGACGAACGGCATCGCGCCGAGAATGGGAACGCCAGGAGGCCCCGGCGGGAGCCGGGAGCTGCGGCTCAGGGAGCGGCGGAGCGCAAGGTGGAGCAGGAGGCACAGGAAGGTGCAGGAGAGCACGACGGGGTCGGTGCACAGAGCGGCGAGCTGCATGGCGGCGGCGCGCGCTGCAGCTGTGCAAAGTGAGATGAAGTCGCGGGCTCCTCAATGGCAGCAGTCTTAGGCCGCACTAGCTATAGGTTATAGGTAGCATAGCAAGGTGATGAGCTCCATCGTCTAAAGCTTTTGGGATGGCGTTCTTGTTGTGGATGCGGTGAGTGGGGCGGGCAGCGTTGACTGTTGAGAATGATGATATGATATCACCACCTTGCGTTGCATTGGTAGTGCGGTGTGCACTTTGAGCAAGGGGAGTAGGTGAAGGAAAGTGATGGACAATCCTCTTCCTCCTCCAGCAGTCCACATTGCAGGGAAGGACAACGGCAGATCGACGATGCATCCATGGCGACGGTGTCCTTCTCACGGTTCGGTACCTTGAGTACCTGCTCCAATCGCTGATTGCGATTTGCGAAAGCTATGACACTAACCGCTGGCTGCTCCACCCCGGCTCGGCTGATTTACTTTTGTTGTAAAACGATATACTCCTATATTTTTAAGCTTGTTGGACTTGTTGAACGTGTGCATCGTGCTATATAGAGGCTGTGCATTTTTTCAATGCGATCGTATCACCTTGATATATTATAATTGAATTAGAAAAAAAGCTGACCGCAAAGGTGTTAGTAGCAAGCACATGAGCCAGCCGGTGGCCATTCACATGTCTCTGCATGCAGTCTGGTACAACATCCAGTTGAAATGTTATCTTCAGCAATCAATTAGTTGCAAAGTTTTTGTACTGAAGTCAATAACACCACGGTACCTCAGATTTTTAAACATGGCAAACCGAACTTTTTTATGACAAATTGTGTTGAACCAAGGATGGCAATTCTCTCTAGGAAGCATGGCAAATCCTGGCAAAAAACAGGATTTGCCATGCTTCCTAAAAAAATTACTATCCACGATACAACATAATTTTCCATAAAAAAGTTTGATTAGCCGTGCTAAAAAATCTGGCGTTGGACTTGTAGCGGAATTCTAACATTAACTCCAGGGGTACGGGTGCGGTGATGCGCAACCGTACAAGTGAGAGATAAAACTACTGGCATGCGGCCGTTTTTCCCCTCTACTCTTGTTGTGGACGAATTTGTCCAGTTTTCAGACCAAATAAAGTTAATAGACTAGATTTGACTTCAGGTAAATTGAGGGATCAAAAATGTAGTTTTCTCTGCTGAAATTCATTTAACATGTTGAACATGATGACATGTGGCAACGGCTGGAGCAGGGACATCTACATATTTTATTTGATAATGCAGGCCCTATGTGCAAATGAGTTTTCCTGGCAAAAAACAAAGTAGAATGATGTGGCAAGTTAATGGCATAAATAATTTATCTAACAAAATATTTTCCAGGATGCCGGGCATTACTATAGCGCAAATGCTAGGTCCCGCTTATTGTGAGACTGTAGCAAGCGTCGCCTCAACGATCAGCGACATGGGCCGACCCATTAAGAGTGGTACGGGCAGTTTTGGCAAGCTTCCTAGGGCCCGTTCCACGAATGTTCCATCCTGTCTTGGAAAAGTTCTACATGTTTTTCTTTCCTTTTTCCTTTCTTTGATATTATTTATGAGTTTTATTTTGTTTTTTTATTTTCTGTTCTAATTTTGCTTTTAAAAATACACATTTGTTTGTTTAATACACGTTGAACATTTATCTTATATAGGTTGAACATTTTTAGATACACTTTGAACATTGTCTAAATGAATATTATGTATAAAAAATACACTGTGAACATTAAACACACATTGGAAATTTACATAAGTTTTCATTATTCTTTTTTATAAAATGTCACCAGACTTATTGTTAAATACGTAAATATTTTTTAAATGTCATGAACATTTTTTTGAATGGTATGAACTATTTTTACAAATGATTTGACTCTTTTTTTACATTATTGCTATAAAGTATCATGGAAATCTTAAACATGTGATATTTTTTAAATGTCACAAAAAATTTTATGAATGTCACGTACATTTTATAAAAAAATGGCAATAAAATATTTTAAAAGCAGGGTGAACACATTTTAAATGTCATGAACAAATTTTGTAAATGTGTGAATTTTTTTGAAATGTCATGAATAGTTTTAGAAATTGTGCAAACAAATTTTTAGATTACATTAACATTTTTTAAATGCACGGTGACCACTATTAAACATTGAAGTAATGTAGTGTTTGAAATATATTTTTTACATTTTGAAACATCAAGAAAAAATAGAAAATGAAAGGAGAAATGTTGAGATAACAAAGTAAGGGATGAAGGAGCGGACTACTGGATTGACCC